ATATATAAGCAGTTACTATTGATTCATGAATGTTGGTTAACATGTTGATTATGTTTAAAAGTGCATTGACAGTGTTTATATGAAATATTTTAGGGTGCAGAAATTCCCGTCGAATTTCTCAATGAAGAACTTACGTAACACCACCAGCTATATTCCACAACAGACAACTTAATATTGGTGAACCATGTACTTCATCAACTAACTATGTAAGTGTGTTAATTAAGATGCATTATTTTCTTTATTTTTCCAAAATGAACCAAACTTTTTTTACATCTAAACTGTAATGACCCGGTCATTTTCTTCCCTTCCTTTTTGCTCAATTTTTTTTTGCGGATAAATTTTTTCCATTGTCTTTTCTATTCTGTATTTGGTTTTTCATCACTTAGTGTCATCTCGAGTGCTCGAAAATGGTTTCTGAGACTTTTTCCTTTGGATTGACAATTTCCTTTAAGGACCGAGTTATTTCCACATTTTTCGTTTTTCGACCCTATTCACTTTTCGTCCTTTTCCCTACTTTGCCTTTTCCCCGTTTGTCACTTTTTGGCACAACCTCACTTTTCGTGCTCAGAGTTGGTTTTTGACTTCATGTATCTTCATTATAAGTGGTTTCCACAAAATACGTATCTTTACTCTTGTAAGAAAGTACTTTGGTTGCTCCTGGTGTCTATAGGGGCATGGATGCATAGTTTTTCAGAATCTTTTTATTTTCTTGGGGTTTTTTCGTAAATATCTTTTGAAGGTATTTTATTTCAGGGGTTTTTCAGAAAATATTTTTGGAAGATATTTTCATTCTGCGTCAATTGTGCAGTTTTCATTTTTTGGAAGGGCCATTGTGCAATTAATGAAAGTTATTGCAAAAATGCCTCGTTTTGAGCCTGGATCCTCATACGGGATTCATTTTCATATTTCGTCAAGTCATGTACTCTTAGAATTTCCTTCTGGTCGTTTTTCTCCAGTTTCAGGGTTTCTGGCCCCAGTTGTCACCGAACTTGTTCGGGGCATAACTTTCTGCTCGGGACTCAGTTTTCGACACCGTTTCTTTTATTGTTCATATTTTCTCATTTTAAATCTTTTTTGTTCATGGAATTTCACCGTTTGAGTGCGTCTGCTCAAATTCCACTTTTCCGAACCCGGCGAGGCCCTTTCGGGGCACTTTTAGGGTTTTTTTATAAATAGGGGACTTAAAGAAGAAAAATCAGATTTTTCTCTTCTTCTTCCTCTCTTGGCCTGCAGCCATGGATTTCCATGGGGCTGTGTAATACCCCTCGGATTCGAGACACGGGTTGATCAGGCCCAAGCCTAAACCCGAGGGAAATATCAAACAATTAATATGTAATACAAACACAGATGACAAAATGAATTTGATAAATAAAGTTTAAGCTGGAAGAAAACTAAATATAAAAACCTTTAATATTAAATATACTTAAATCCCAATAATCCAAAACCTCCATAAGTTAACAACTCGGGAATCCATCTCCAGTGGACCCCTAAAAACCAAACTGAATGAAAGTAAACTGAAGATAAAATCCAAATCAAATATCTGGAAAGAAGTCCTACATCGTCGGTAGAATGGAAGATCTTCTCTGCCCAGCACGAACAAGCTCAAGCCTGGAACTGACGTACACCTGGAAAATAGGAGTGGGTCAGGCCCACGAACAAGTTCTAACCTACTACAATCCAAGCAGAGACTCGATACGCATATACACTCTAACCAACTCAACAATAACTATATAAGTCATGTATATATATATATATATATATCCATACTAAGGGACATTCACTGGACTACAGTAGGGGTTTCAACCTGAATAGAAGGCAACATGCGAAAACGCACCCAAAGGTGGGCACGAGTACTTAGACCTAACAGGGTACACCTCAATCTACTATAGCCAGCTACGCATCCACTGCATATATGCACCCTAACCAACGAGTCTAAGACTCAAGCTCCTCTCGTGGTACCATAAACATATATTTAAAATCCGTTCATAACAATCCATAATAAATCTAGTAAGTCGTTCAGCTTATTCAACTGCACAGACTTAACATAGATAACCAGTAATCCAGCTAGTCATTCAGCTTGTGCAGCTTCTTTAACTTAGCCTAAATATAAGTAGGATTTATTTTTAATCGATTCCCTTATTCCGTATAGGTAGGATATAGCAATTTTGAGCCAAATCCACACCTAGTATGTCACCGTCCCATACCAGTGCATACAATCCAATCCATCCGGCAGTTAATAGAATAAATAAAAAATATAACTATCAACTAATCCATACATTCCACAATTGACAATAAAACACTAAGTACAAATATCAATTGTTCCATATTAAGCATGATAAAATAATTGTCAATTAACAAGCTTAATCCATACTACTTTGCAAGGTCCACTAATTGATATTACAGTTTATACATGTAAACCAATTAATTCTAATCAACCATAGTGGAATATAAATATTCACAGGTTTATTTTTAGTAATTCTGGAACATGAGTAATTGCAAATCATCACTAAGAATTTTAATACCAAAGCTTAAACATCTTGCAGTTCCTCCCATCCAAACTGTAAACCAACTTAGGCCCAAATAAGCATACTAAACCATTTAAATCCACACGCTTATTTTATAACATTGGGATAGGTTTAATTGAGAATTTTATTGCTAAGAATTGCTATTCTAAGTGTTAAGCAATTCTGCATCCTTTCTTAACAAAAACACAATAAACTGATTAATTAAGCATTGTCCACTGTTGCATTAAAACAAAGTTGTTTTACCTTGCATAAACTTCTCTCAAGGATTTTAACCATGCTTAGACCACCTCTAAACACCTCAGTATAGCTTCCAACAGAAACTAAAAATCCCAAAATCCGAGTTCCGTAGCTCATAAAGTCACAGAAAAATGGAAAACAAAAATCCAACCAAGAACCTGCTCTCCCCAAAGGAAGAGCCTGCTCTTCTAAAGCTTGGAGCCGGATCTCCTAAGCATGGAGGCAGCTCCAAGACCTCTAGAGCCGGCTCCATATAAACATGGAGCCCGCTCTTCGCCCCAATGAGCTGGCTCTTCAAAAATAGGAGCTTGCTCTTCTCCGTTCCTTCATCTCCTTCACGTCCGACTTGATTCTGTTGATCCGACTTCCATTCCTAAGGCACTTGGATGTTCAAATTGGGTTCCAACTGATTCCAGAATCCACTAAATTCTTTGTTCAATTACCAAAATTAATTTAAAGCATAAATTTTGTAACAAGAATTTAATACTAGCAGTTTATGCAATCCCGAACCCTAACTGTTTTAACACATCAAACTTGCAATCTAAATAAATTTCAGTGATTCCCAACATAATATAGAATAAATTAAAATTATTACTCATCAATTTCCATGAATTAACAAAAATTACAACAACAAAGGACTTAAAACAACCATTAAACAACTTAGAAACACAATCAGTTTTAAGTATTCAGGATATGCAATACAGTTCAATTTAAATCCTTATTTAATCCTTATTAAATCCTGGAATTGTATTAGTTGTGTAAAGAACACGAGCCTAAGGGAAAGAGATAGGATTAGAACTTGCCTTTGAGACTTTTGTTCAAAATCTCTCCGTCGTCTTCTAAGGTTCCGGCGATTCCTACTGCAAAATTCCTCCTTTGTTCTCTCTCTGCCTCCACAGGCATGTATAGGTTTTACTTTTCTTAAAACCCTAAGCAGACTTATCTTATATATTTATAGGCAACCAAAAACCTAAGTCCAATTATATCCAAAGTCTAAAACTCGGCCCATAAACACAACCTAGTTTATAAACCCTGTTGGCTCATTAAATTAAACCTAAACAGAACTAAAACCCTAACCACACTTTTATACCTAGTCATTAATTAAAACATTTAATTATTAATTCAATTAAAGAAACAATAAAATTCCAAGTTAACGTAAAACAGAAAATAAAATACAGTTTAATAATTAATTAATTAATTCACAAACCACCACTAAATAAATAAAAACTAATTAATTAATTCACAAACCACCACGAAATAAATAAAAACAAATAAAGTCACACTTAATCAACAAATTCACAACTAAATAAATAAAAACACAATTTAAATAATTAAATAAATTCCAGAACTATCCTTGTTAAATTAGGGGTATTATAGGCTGCCACCTTCTCTCTCCTCTTTTGATCTCCTTCCCTTTGTTAAAACATCGTAGTGCCTTAGTGTTTAATTCTTGTCTTGACAGCGCACATCTTTCACCTTCATTAGAACCCGTTTTTGGCCAAATTTTGAGTTCGGGTTTGAAGTCAAGCTGTGATTTTCATGGGTCCTCTTGGCAGTTAAACAAAGAAATAGCAGTGCGTGTGATAGTAATGTATACCTGGCCTGTTGCTTTCATTGACTTCCTCCTTTTCCCACTATTTAACTCTATGGCTGGTTTCAGCCTCTTAAATTATCCTTTAGAGGTATCTTTAACTTTCAGGAACATGGGAATTGTTCCACTGTTGTTTTTCACCCTTTTTTTTCCCTTACCCCTTGAAATTTTCTCTACAAACCTACAACCACAGGTTATTTGTACTATTCTTTTCCAGTCCAGTGCTTTTTCTAATAGATCATTATATCCTTCAGCGTCGTGCGATGCAATGGAAGATATTTCAGTCAGTATATGGAAAAGCGTCCTATGCCGTCGCCTAATCTCAAGTTAAGGAATGGATTCACATTGGTGGAAACAATTTCCTCCAACCTGCCATCTCTAGCATTTCTAGTCCACCTTTTTATTATATATCGAGAAGGCAACTCATTCACAAACATGCAGTCTTTAAGGATTTTCAGACTGTGCCTGCACAAATAGCCCTCTCTTTCAAATTTACAACATGAGCATGACAATTCATCTTCAAATGTCCTGCTCACACAATGTAGCACCCAGTCCTCACCAGTAACTTTATAAACACGGTGTCCATTGTTATCCAAGTCATTGTAACTAGTTAAAGCCTGACTCGTAAGAACAGCTAAAAACTCCTCCTAGAAAAGCTGAAATATTGCCTTGGTGTACACCTTCCCCCCTTGACGTAATATGTGGCACCTTGTTTTTAGTTCCGGTTGCCTCTCCACCAAACCATACTCAGTTTCATACTCCTTGTATCGCTTGTCGGACAACAATATGTCAAAGTGTGTGAAGAATTCTGGTAGAATAAGTTGTCTGGAAAGGTAATACTTCAATTGACCATTGAAGCTTTCACTCAATTGAGTGCTATTCATTCCTGCAGACCAGTCGTGTTTGACAAATGCCAGGGCCCATTTATGTCTTAAATCTAACAAAGTGGAAAGCCACTTATTACCAGCAACACCATACTCTGCAATCATTAAATCCCATTCCTTAATAAAATCATTCTCTTCCTCAATTTGGAACATTAATTTTAAGATGACCTTCTTTATTCCTTCAACACATTTAACAGAAACAGTAGGTTCTTCTGTGCATTATTCATTAAGTGCCAAACACATAAATGATGCTTCGTCACCTGCATAACTTACACGATTAATTAACTTAATACCCGTGTTGCAAACATGCAAATCCAAAAAATACGACTGAAATAATACGATTGTTTTCAGCATGAGATAATATAAGAATAGAGATGCATCAAAGTTATTCACCTGCTTTAATACCTTCGCCTTTGCAGCATCTTGATCCGTAATAATCATTTTTAGCGCTTTTCCGCCCATCACTTTCGAGAACGTTTCAAATAACCAGACAAACGAATCCATTGTCTCATCATACATTAAGGCTACTCCAAACACAGGAGTCTCCCGGTGATGATTCATACCCAAGAAAATTGCAAATGGTCTGTTGCCGTGTACCACTTTGTACGTTGTGTCGAAACTGATAACATCTCTAAATTGGCCATAATCAATGATCATTTTACAATCTGACCAGAATATGTTCGTAATCATTTGCTCAGTATCTAGTAGTAAGGAATAGAAGAACGAAGGATCTTCACTATGACGCATCTCAAAATAATCCACTAGCCATGCCACCTCTTAGAAGCTCCTTTTGTCTTCGCGTCCTTAGATAACTTTTAAGATCCTTTTTTAAGTACCCAACTGATTCTTTGCCACCAAACTGCCTTCCCATCAACTTATATGCATTACAAGGCGGAATTCCTGAATCCGAAGCCAACTCAACATTGATGGCCTGGAATGAGGATATTCATCGCTGGGACGACTTCATGTGGTTACATTCAGCTATTATGAATGGATGGTTGGGACTTTCTACAAATTTAGAAACTACATACTTTGCCTTTGTCTTGTCATATCTAATAACCATTCATGCACCGCAATTGGTTCCTGTTTCAGCTCGGGGAGTCTTTCTAAATACATCCCATTTGTCAGTCCCCTTCACACCTTCCTTGCTATAAACTAACGCCCTTGATGTAATTCTTCCATTAACTTTATTGCCATACTCCTTCCGGATGCTAAAACCAATTCGACCACCATATGCATTGTAAAAATCATATGCCTCTTTCTCACTATCAAACTCCATTTTATACCTTGGTTTCTATTTAATCACTTTCGGTTTTACAACAGGAACATTTTGTCCATTTGTTGTGTCTTGAATATTATTTACTTCACCTTCCATTTGAACGCCTCAAATACAAAACCTTTTCTCACATATGCACAAAATATTGAATTAACAAAAAATTAATTTTACTTCTACATACCAAGTATGTTCTATCTCAATGACTCAAATACAAAACCTTTTCATATGCATGACCAATCAAATAAAAAACCTTTTCACATGTATGAGAAATTAAATTTGACATATATCTCATTCATTTCATTTCTTTGCATGTATCAATCAAGTATATCCTAAACAAACGACGATAAAAATCCTTGTTGCCACAACAAAACATATATGTCCAACCAACTGATGCTAATTTCTGAAAATGTTGGGATTAATATTACGCAAAATTTGGGATTTACGTTACGAAATGGTTGGGATTCACCTTACGAAATAGTTTGGACTCACCTTAGGAAAAATTTGGGATGTACTTTTTTAAGAAGTTGGGATGTGATTTATGAAACCTTTGGCATATACTTTACAAATACTTTGAGATTTATATTATGAAAATTTTGGGATGTACATTAGGAAAATATTGTGACTCACTTTATAAAAATATTGGAATGTAGATAAGGAAGAATTTGGGATGCTTATTAGGAAAAAGTTGGGATTCAACTTAGGAAAATGTTGCGATGTAAGCCCAATGACCAAACATTTTCTTAACATTGTAACTCTGAAACACTATTTTCCAGCTAGTCATGTACCCAACAACTCTTCTCATTTTTTATCCTCACAAACAAACATTAAAACCCCTAATAACTGCACAATAAAATAGCGATCAATTCAAATTCACCAATAATTTTCTTTTTCTGGGTTTTGGGATGTACGTTAGGAAAATGTTGTGACTCAGTTTAAAAAAATATTGAAATGTAAATAATGAAGAATTTGGGATACTTATTAGGAGAAAGTTGGGATGCAAATTAGGAAAATGTTACGATGCAAGCCCAACGACCAAACATTTTCTTAACATTGTAACACTCTGAAACACTCTTTTTCGGCCAGTCATGTACCCTACAAATCTTCTCATTTTTTTTCCTCACAAACAAACATTAAAACCCCTAATAACTGCACAATAAAATAGTAATCAATTCAAATTCACTAATAATTTTCTTTTTCTGGATTTCTTACCAAAATTGTGTTTATATATATTTGTTTCTGCCATTCAGTTCTTATGGAAATAAGATAATTTTCTTCAAAATCAAATCTCAAAATTATGAATCGTAACTGATTAGGGTTGGAAATAAGGCGATTTCGTGCTTCGATTTGGAAATACACTCTCATTTAGCTTTGGAAATCCACTGTTGCTTCTTTTTGGAAGGAATCAGAATCTATAATTTCATTGTGACTGACAGAGGCACTGCTTCTATTTGGAAACAATTTGTAGCATCCAATTTTTGGGTTAATTCACACAACAATCGTTGTTTCTGGATTCTATTTAGAAAGAAAGAAATTTCTAAAATGACTTCATTCATATTTTGGGAGAGACGAAGGCTAGGATGGGATTTTATTTCTATTTCAAATGTCGCTTGAAATGAGGGAGGGAAGAGGAAGCAGAAATAAGGGAGGGAACAAAATGGGTATTCTTTAACAGTATATACATACATATATATATATATATATATATACACCAAAATTCTGTATTCCAAAAATATATTTTTTACCCAAACATGGTTAACACTATTCATTGACCCAAAATGGAGGAAATGGGACACTGTAGGACTGGAGGTGATCCTGGTCCGTTAGAATATGCGTCTTTGAGTCCCAAATTCCTACTTTGCTAATACTGGTATATATATATTATCCAAACACTGTTGTTCTACTCCATTTCATGCACGTGTGATTGTATTATGTCTATTGATTTAACACGTAAATTTTTTTTTTTTTGAGGTATTTTAAAAATAAAATAAAATAAAAATTAAAGAGGTAATAAAAAATGTTTTTTTTGGGATTGTGGTTTTAACTTAGTGGGGTCCAAATAAAGAGTTAACGTGACCGGTTGTTGTGTCACCTTCATATGATCACTTCATAACCAAACACCCTATGGGCTAGCATGTTTTATCACCATTAAGATAGTAAGGTTGTCTAATGGTTTAATTAAGAATATAGTTGGGTTGTCTCAACCTTGTTCGTAGATTAATTTCCTTAGTGAACATACCCATTATTCTATCGATGTTCATGACTATTGTTAACTTGGAAGAATCGATGATGTTGTATGCCATATATATGGCATGAGTTACTAATTAATTTGCGTTACTGTGGTCAAATGTGCTACATATGCTAATTATCCTTGACCATTTCACTAGAATATATGAGAAAGAGCTTAATATACCTTGTATAATCTTTATTTTGATTTTTTTTTTTTCTTGTTTGATTACTTTCTTGACTTTAGGAGATTTGATTGTAATTTTGAAGGGGCACAAAATCCCATTGGACCGAGTCCAACCTAACCCATCAGTCTAGAGGGAGGCCTGACAACCATCCAGCCCGCTGACTCTCATTCAAGGCCTGTTTTAACCTAAAGCAAGGCCTGTTCTAACTGAGGGTGAGGCCCAAGAAGAGATCTAGTCTATTTAGGAGGAAGGAAACCCATATTATCTAGAGATTTGGATAAGAGCAAAGGATTTTTAGGGTAAGTAGAGACTTTTATAAATGGAAAAAAGCAAATGTGAAAGGATTCGATTGAAGTGTAAAAGATTAACTTTCCTAATAGAGAGGGTAATTTCTTGCACATTCATCTGGCGCCGTCTGTGGGAAGTCGACAAGTGATTTTTTGATCCATTTGATGATACAGCTGCGTTCCGGAATGATGATCGGAGAAGGAAGTATGAAGAACCATGATCATGGCTAGAACGATCGGCAAGAGGATCTCTGGCATTTGATCCAGACCCTGCGTAAGGAGAACGCAGAGGTCATGGAGATGTTGCACCGAGAGAACGCGGAGCTCCGATCACGACTGGAGCGTGGATTGGAGCCCCACTTTTCACCGCCATTGCCGAATCAGGCAGCAGCGAACGAGATCAACACTTAGAATGATCGCATTGGGTCAATCCACCTTGACTGTGTTAGATCCATCCACCACAACCGTGTTGGATCCATTCACCATGATTCACGTCTGAGGGAGCTTGATGAAAGACCAATAGATCAATTAGTCGATCAAGAAAGTACTAGCAAAACGATGGCCAGAGGTCATGCACGCACTAGGTGTTTGAGGAAACGTCAAGGTTAGATATCCGAGCATAAGTTCAACAAAAGGTCAGTGTACGACTTAAGGATCCAAAGGCACCCACACCAGTGGACATTGTAATGACCCGGTCATTTTCCCTCCTTTCCTTTTTCTCAAATTTTACTAATAAATTTTTTTCGTTTAATTTTCTTTTCCGAGTTCTGTTTCTTACCACTTGGTGTCATCTCGAGTGCTTGGAAATGGTTTCTGAGACTCTTTCCCTTGGATTGACAACTTCCTTTAAGGACCGAGTCATTTTCACATTTTCAATTTTTGGACACTATTCACTTTTTATTTTTTTCTTCCTGTTTGTCACTTTTGGCACAACTTCACTTTTCATGCTTGGAGTTGGTTTTTGACTTCACGTACCTTCATCCTAAGTGGGTTCCATGAAATACGTATCTTTACTTTTATAGAAAAGCTTTCTGGTTGCTCCCGGTGTCCATAGGGGTATGGATGCAAAGTTCTTCAGAAACATTTTTGTTTCTTGGGGTATTTTTCGTAAATATCTTTTGAAGATATTTTATTTCAAGAGTTTTTAAGAAAATATCTTTTGAAAGATATTTTCATTCTGGGCAGTTTTGTAGGAGCCAATGTGCAATTAACGAAAGTTATTGCAAAATACCTCATTTTGAGCATAAATCCTCGTACAGGGTTCATTTTCACTTTTTGTTGAGTCGTGAACTCTTAGGATTTCCTCCCGGTTGTTTTTCCCAATTTTAGGGATTTTGACCCCGGTTACCGCCGAACTTGTTCGGGGCATATCTCTCTGCTCAGGACTCAATTTTCAACGTTGTTTCTTTTGGTGTTTATATTTTCTCATTTCAATTCTTTTTCATTCATGGGGTTTTTCCATTTGAGCGCGTCTGCTCAAATTCCACTTTTTCGGACCTGGCAGAGCCTTTTCGGGGCACTTTTAGGGTTTTACTATAAATTGGGAGTTATAAAAAAATTAAAACATTTTCCTCTCTTCTTCTCCCACGTTCCAGCAGCAGCCATGGCAGCCCAAGGGGCTGCTACCTTCTTTTCTTCTTTTCCACCTTCTTCCCTTGTGTAAAATGTCGTAATGCCTTAACGTTTATCGTAGGCCTTGACGTACTCTTCCTTTCCCCCTTATTAGAATCCATTTTTGACCATTTTTAAGTTCAGGTTTAGATTTTCATGGTACCTCAAAGGTTAAAGTTGTTCCTCTTGTTGTCCCCGACATAACCTAAGAGTATCGTCGGATTTGGAATACTTTTCTTTCGGTGGGGATTTGAGATTTCATCTCAAATTGAGGTAGGGGATATCTTAGGTTTATATTTTGGTTATATTGAGTATATTTCATGCTTACACAACTTAATCACATGCCTTTGTATTAAATCGAGAAACTTTATATATTTATTTTTCTTGTTTGAGATTTGATTCTCCCGGTTGGTTATAACTTGGTTTAAACATGTGGCATGATATTATATTACACCTTGATATGTTCATTGACATATATTAAATTGAGAGCATCAAGTATTGAAGTTTTTATTTAATTATTTTCTTGAATGAAAATTTAATTCATGTGGCCTTACCTACCCTGAAATCAATATGTGATGCCATATTATATTAGGCCCTAGCATACTCTTCAACATATGTGAATTTGAGAGTATTCGGAGATGTTTTAAAATCTAGAAATAATTAATTAATTTATTTCAAGTGCACTATTCACTTT